AGCCACAGATGGCCAGAGGCGAGGACAGAGAGAAGACAGGGTGCTTCCCATGGCCCAAGGACTGATAAAGCAGGAATGGCAGAGAATTGAGGGTTGGTTGAGACTCCAGAGGGTTAGGAATGGTGCTTTTGAACACCATTTGAACACAGGGCAGGTAGCAGAGGGAAAGGGAGGAGAGTGACCGGGAAGGGTGGGCAAGTGCTGGAGGTGGCTCCCGTGGAAGATGCAGAGGGGGCACCCCCAGCAGCAAGGTGGGAGAGGTAGACACAGAGAAGAACCGAGCCAGAAAGGGCATTTCAGAGTTTGAGTTCTTGAACTCTCCCCCAAATAGCTCCCTACTGATGGTGTCGGGGTGTGAGTTCCCCCTTTGGGTTTTGGAGCTGTGGACCAAGAGGCAGGTAGCTCTTGGTAAAGGACAAGTCATCAGGCTTTTCTATGAATTTGTTTGTTATTGGTTCTCCACCCACGGCAGCTCCAGGAGGGGTGATGAGTTAGTGGTGGTTATCCCAGGTCCCACCTTTTAAGTATGGCCTGAGAGTCAGGGGCCCAGGGATGCAGAGGTCAGCTTAAGAACCTGGAATGCCTGGGGCCCTGCAGTGCCACAGAGGAGAAGACATCTCTAGAAGTCCTTCTGTTCCAGGGAGGCTGGGGAGAGTAGGAGCAGGGAGCGGGGAGGGGGTAGTGAGAGTAGGCTCTCTTCCTCCATCATCCCCATCCAGATAGCACGGAGTGGATTAGAAATCTCAGCATCATCTTGAGTATCCAGAAACGCACGTGCGTGTGAAAGGATGTGCAGAGGATGGAGAGCTGTCACTTGGGAGAGGCAACGTCACTGGCAGGGGTAGGAGCGGGTACAGGAGAGGGGGAGGGTGGCTAAAGGGTAGTGATACCTGGCCAGCTGCCTGCTTTTGCACAGACTGGCCCAGCACCCGAGGACTTGGGGCCCTCTCAGTGTGTGAAAAGACTCATTCAAGCACTCATCTTACAGACACGTGCACACATTCACCCACTTGCCATGGCCACCCCAAATGGGGAAGGGCCAAAAGGAAAGCCCTTGTTCCCCTTAACCTGCAGGGTGAGGGCCAGTGATCTAGGCCATTGGCTGAGTGCTCTGATGGATGGCTGCCTCTCAGCTCCCCCTTCTTCTCTGGAGCCACAACTGTCTCTGCCTTTGTCCCTGTAGTTCTTGAGCTCCCTGACTCAGCCTGGCTCCCCGATTCCCAGCAGTAGACAAAGCCCTTGTCAGTGAGGTGGGGGTGGGGACAACGAGGGAGTAGCTGTGAACTGTAGGACCAGAGTTCCAGCCCTTTCTTTCTCCCAACCTTCAGGGTCTTTTGGCCTCCCGAGTTCAGAGGTCACCTCCAGGCCCCTCCCCAACTTGCCCCCATCTCTAAGGCCTGGCGGATGGGGTGGAAACTAACTAGGACCTTCCTCCCAGCTAGACAAAGTCTGACACCTGGTGGCCAAGGTGAGAAATGGCCAGAAGGATCCCTTTTCAAATGTCCCCAGAATTTCTCCAGGGCCAGGCTGGCCAAGGTGAAAGGGGAGGTGATGGGAGCTTTGGAGGGGGTGGTTGGGACAAAGCAGAAGAGACAGCCAGTGGCAGAAAAACCCAGACGCAGGAGAACTTTTGCCTTCTGTCAGGCTCCTGCCCCTTAAGCCCACTAGGCCGGAGACCCTGGAGCAGGGAGAGGTGGGGTGTCTGGGAGGATCATGATGGACTAGGAGGGGCCGCCTGAAAGAATTTTGGCCCACAGGGTGGAGAATGGGGCCCAGGGCGTGTGAATATGTGGGGGCTGGGGATATGAATCTGGCTGCCCAGAATCTCCAGCTCAGGGTGGGTGGCAGGGCCTGAGGGCCTGAGGAAGGGGGTTGCTGAGGAGAAGGAAGGAGAGCAGGAAGGAGAGCAGGCTACGCCCCACAGCCTGCTGGGCCCCAGGCAGCTGCTTCCTTCCCTCTACCTGCCCCCACCTTCCTAGCTCTAGCTGGCTCTCTCCAGAAGCCCCATTGTGAGCAGGGGGAGGGGGAAGGGGCTCCCAGGGCGCCTGCGCAGTGCTGAGGCCCCCCACCCTGCCACATTGTCTGAACTAAGCCAGGCCTAATCCCCCTTTCCTTTGGAGGAGTAGGCAGTGGGCCTCAGCCCTCAGGAAGGTGCTGGGCTCCTGTTCCAGTTCTTTGCTCTCTTTTCTCTCGGGTTCTCCCAAGACTTTGGCCTTGGCCTAGAGCAAGGCCCTTGGGTGTTCCCAAGCCGAGGTCACTCCTGCAAAGTGCAAAGGTCACTCCTGCTAGTCCCATCACCAGCCTCTGGGGGTCAGAGCTGACATAGAAACAGGCTCCTGGGTCTCAGGAAATTCCCTGAAGGAGGGAGAACTTAGCTCCCAACTCAGACCTCTGACCTGGCCCTCCAGCCTGACGCCTGACTTGTGATAGGCCCCACCATAGCAGTTTTGGGGATAGGACAGGAGGCTGTCTGAGTCGGGACAGGGGTTCCAGGAAGAAAGGTGATAGGGGCAGACAGGGTTAGAGGAGTGAAGAAGGAAAAGACCTGAGGATGGCAGGCCAAGGTTCTAGTGGCCAGCACACCTCAGGGATCCAGACACCAAGTTGGGGAAGGATGCCAATTAGACAGGGATGGTTCCAAAACTCCTGGGTGCCAATTCCTTTGAGTCAGGGAGCTCAGTCCCACTACTGTCTGACTAGGACAGAAGGGCAATGCTGCCTGTGGAGAGTTCTCTCGACTCTAGGCCAGAAAACCGGTCCTAGGCCACTTGCACTTGAGCTGACCGCCCGGATTCTTTCTTGGGGCTGGGGGGAAGCTGAAGGCCAAGGGAGACATCTTCCAGGCTAGGTGGGAGAGGCTAGCAGGGCCTGGGCCAGGCAGAGCTGGGGGCAGCCGGCAGGGATGGCCCAGACAGTGCCCACAGAGCAGGTCCGGGTGCCAGAGGAGAGAGGGAATGCGCTCGGGCGGCGGTAGGAGCCACTGTGGCCGCCCAGAGGCACACCCCATTTCACGCTCCCTGGGCGGTGGCAGGGCCCCACGGCTATCAGCTTTCAGGGGTGGGAAGGACCAGGAATGAGGAGGGGTCTGCCCCACCCATGGCTTCCTACTCCCTCAAGGCTCTGTGGGCTCAGGAGTGAGGTGCCACACACCTCTGGGATCGCCCTCTGGGGAGAGAGTGGTCAGTCCCACGGAGCCTGGGCACCATCCCTCTGTAGAGTGCACAGGGCCTGACTGGACCCCACACCTCAGCCCTTCTCAGGCATGTGGAGAGGGCCTCCCTGTTTTCCTTCCCAATGCAGCAGGGCCCCCGTCTCCCTCAGTGTGGGCCCCACTTAGTCCATGAGGCAGATGGGGGATTAGGCCAGGCCCAGCCCAGAAAATAAAGCAGGGAAGGGCCCTCCAGCTCTGTGCAGTGCATTCAAGAGCTCTGACTCCCACTCAGCCCTCCTCAAGGAAGTGCATGGGGAGAGCCAGGCAGGAGGAGGCCCCTGAAGACACGGCTGCTCTCGTTCCTCCCCTTTGGTGGTCTCCTGTCCAGAGCATTTCCTCTCTTATGCCCACCTTACTCCTAACACAGAGCACCGAGGCCCCGGAGCAGTGGGAGAAGGGGAGGCAGAAGTGTCTGGGCAGGCCCCTGCTCTCCTGGAAGAGCTGGATGGGATCTCTAAAGGGCACTTAGAGCTGGGCTGGCCCCTGTGCTGATTCCCAGACTCCCACTGACCAGCACTTTTGCCTGCTGCCAGGAAGTTGGTGAGGGGGAGGCGGGTGAAGGGGTGACTCAGCGATGACAGGAGCCCAAGGGACAAAGGTCATGGGTGGAGAATTGAGAGACACTGTTTACAGCAGCCCGCCTCCTCCAGGAGGTCTTCCAGTGCTGAGCCAACCCTGTGGTCCAACTCCTCTCTGACCCACCCTTCTCCCCTTTCCTGTTTGTTAGGAATTTTATCCTTGCACTGACAACTTGTGTATCCTATCTTCCTACCCCATTAGCCTCTGAGCTCCTGGGTGGGGAGGGCACAGAGGGACTGTGGTTTAACTGGGGCCCCACAATGCCTGTGACGATCAGCACTTCCTACTTTGAAAAACCATTTTATGGGGCGCCTGGCTGGCTCAGTCCGTGGAGCGTGTGACTCTTGATCTCGGGGTCATGGGCTCAAGCCCCACGTTGGGGGTAGAGATTACTTAAAAAAAAAAAAGGCAGCATTTTACATCTAGTTTAGTTGAGTGAATATGTAGGAAAGTGCTGAGAACAGTACTTGGCACACCGTGCCATGTAAGAGTTTAGTTTATCATTGGTATTTTCTGCTCATACTGTCACATTAGTGAGACAGGGCAGATTTTACTGCTAAAGACCTGGGGATACAAACACTCTGGTCTCCTGCTCACTGTGGAATCTTCCTGACTAGTAGGGTAGGCATGTGCAGGCTACGGGACCCCCGTAGAGTCGACAAGGCCAACGCTTGCCTGGACGAAGAGCGGGCAGGGTCTTTGGGCACAGACTGTGAGAAAGGAGCTTTGGAACCCATGGGCTTCTCCAGCCAGGTCTCCTGGGGCCGGTGGGGGTGGGGTGGGAGCAGGGAAGGGGATTGGATTAGCCCAAACGCTCTTCAGACCTCCAGACCTGCCCCCACAAGGCTCTGCGGGACAAGGGGTGGGAGTGGAGGCTCCAGCTGGACTCTGGGGAGTTACCAACCGGCCACGGGGATTACTGAGGCTGAAAAGAACATTTGCCTAGGAAGGGAAAACGGGAAGTGAGAGCCTGAGGATAACGCTCTATAAGTCCCCTGAGACCCACGGCAGACCAATGGGGAGGAGGGGGGCAGGAGGAGGTGGTGCAGTCTGGGGCATCTTGACAGGTCCCCCACCCCAGCCTCACCCCTTCTCCCCCAGAACACAGCTGCAGCAGCTGTCCCGCCCCCTCTGCCGTCGCCGCCTGCCATTGGCTGGAGCCGGGCCCCGCCCTGCAGAGGCGGCCAACCATTGGTCTAGGTCTTTGATGTTTGTGCGCTTGTGGGGGTGGGGGACAGGCGTCATTCCCTGGAACCAGCGGACTTCCTCTCTACTTGTCTGGGTCACCCTGTCTGCCCGTCGCTAGCCCCAGGCTCGCTCTCTGGCCCCAGCCCTCTTCTCTCTCTCTCCCTCAGCAGCTGTCTCTCTCGTGCCCGCTGGCCTGTCTCTCTCCTTCCCCGCAGTCGCCTCCTTCTCTGCCTGCCTGGGTGGCCGCCATGGGCAGGAAGCGGCTCATCACTGACTCCTACCCTGTAGTGAAGAGGAGGGAGGGCCCCGCTGGGCACAGCAAGGGGGAGCTGGCACCAGAGCTAGGTCTCTTACGTGTGGGGGGGGCGGGAGTAGTGGACACCGCTGAGGGGCATGAGAGGACGTGGGCGGACGTGGGCAATGGAAGGGGAAGTGAAGTATGTCCTTTACTTCCTACTCCAGGCCTGGCAGTGGCCGGCAGAGGCAAAGGGGTGGCGAGGGCCGGGGAGCAGTGGGGCAGCTGTGAGGCGATGGGCAGGGGACTGGCCTTGCAGGGCACAGGCCTGGGCAGGCCTGAGGAGCAGCATGTCATTGCAGGGGAAGAGCCCCAGCCCCTGAGCGTGGATGAAGCAGAACTGGAGTTGCTGAGGCAGTTTGATCTCGCCTGGCAGTATGGGCCCTGCACAGGTGAGAACCCTCTCAGGCCCCTGAAGCAACCCAAGGCCCTGCCTGACCCTCTTGGGCACTGTCTCCTGAGACTAGGGGGTGTGGAGGTCCTGACACACCCCTCCACACGCATTCTCTAGCCCGCACCCCCCATGAGGTGCCCGCGTCTCCTTCCCACCCTGGCAGGGATCACACGGCTGCAGCGCTGGTATCGGGCGGAACAGATGGGCTTGGAGCCTCCCCCAGAAGTGCGTCAGGTGCTACAGACCCACCCTGGAGATCCCCGCTTCCAGTGCAGGTCAGAGACAGGCCAGGGAGGGTTCTCAGGGGAGCCAGGCACCACCAGCCTGCTGGCCCCCCGGGGTGGGGGCTGCCCTGACCTGAGGAAGACATGGATACGGGTTTGGGGCCTTGCTGAACAGGCAAGAAGATTCTCTAAGGTGCCTGGCTCAGGAAGGCAGAAGATGGCTTTAATAATCCTTATCGCTGAGCTAATGGTGGGGGAAGGGTGCACCCAGGGCCCAGGGGACTATCTATTTAGTACAGAGGGGTTGGCCAAGGACTATAGACCATGGCCAAGAATTGGGGCTGGTGAAATCAGATCAAGGACTTAACTGATTCTGGTTTCTCCCTCCCTGTCCCCTCCCCTCGCACAGCCTCTGGCATCTCTATCCCCTTTGAGGCCCACCTAAGACCTCCTGCCCGCTATCCCAGAACCTCAACACACAAGTGAGAGCTGGTTGCTGCCCCCTTGGCTCAGTTCTGCTGTGAAGAACTTTTGGCAGGAAAAGAGCCTCATAGAGAGAGAAAAGAGGCTGAATCTGGAGGTCTCTGAGGCTCAGCCCTCCATCTAACCAGCAGGCTTCTGGAGCCCCCTCTGAGAGCCAACACAGCTGAAGCTTGCACTTCCTATGTGGAGAATGGTCTCTGAGGACAAGGACCTGGCCATGACCTTTCAGATGCCTGCTACACGCCTCCCTGACCACAAATACTGTGGTCCTGGGAATAGTGTGGCAAATAGGCACAGCCTTGACATGGTCAGACTCAGGCAGATATCTATCTACGAGGCAAAGATGCACTCCCCACTTAAGGCTGGGAATCTGAGGGCAAAACTGGCAAGAGGTTCACTAATGCTTATCAATAAAGAACACTGAGTCTGGAAGCCTGACCTCCAGTCCCTTAATGTGGCCCTGCGTGGGCTGGCAGCCACCAGCAAGTTGATAGGTGGGAGAGAACCAGCACTACGCCTTCCCTCTGCCGCCCAACCCTAGACCTGGGACTAGACAAGTCTATGGACTGTGGGACAAGTCCTCATTAGAGCTGATCAGCCTCTGGCGCCCCCTGGTGGTGTAAAGGGAAACTACTCTTTTTTTTTTTTAAGATTTTGTTTATTTGACAGAGATACACAGAGAGAGAGAGAGAGAGAGAGAACACAAGCAGGGGGAGTGGGAGAAGGAGAAGCAGGCTTCCCGCAGAGCAGGGAGCCCGATGCAGGGCTTGATCCCAGGACCCTGGGATCATGACCTGAGCCGAAGGCAGACGCTTAACGACGGAGGCACCCAGGCGCCACGGGAAACTACTCTTTAGCCACCTTCAGAGACCAGCCAGAGAAAAACTTACCTGACCTGCCACCTAGCCTGGCATCAGCCTTCTCTCACCCACCCAAGCTTACAAAATGGGTCTTTGTCGGAGGAGGATCCATAGGGCCCACGCCCCATAAAGTCCAGACCTACGGATTCCCGGCAAGCACCTCTGCTTCCCACATTGAGGCCACCTGGATCCAAAGCAGGGTTGAGGAGGCTTTCAACCTGCAGGTCCTGCTCAGGGATGGCCATCATCTGATGCGCTTTGGTGGGGAACTGGGTGGAGCAGAAACAGTGCTTAGGGGACCCCGGGATGGTATGACATGGAGAATGGGGTCAGTGTTCCTTGCACTGTGTTTACCTTCACTGGCTGTACCAGCCCTCCATCCTGGGCAGACAGAGACAGCACTACTAACTCCTTGAGGACAGGCCTACAGAGCAGCCAAGTAGCCTCTTCAACCCCCACTGTCCTGGGCCCTGCCCGTGCCTCAACACTTCAAATGAATCATCTCTAAAATTGCTAAAGGGCTGTCAAGGTAGATTTTATAGTGAGGGGGCCTGAAGCCCAGAAGAGCTGTGTGGCGCTGCTCAGCAGCACCAGCAGGTATGTGGTGATGAGAGGCCATGTGCACCAGGCTCTTCCTGTCTACACCCAGGCACCTGCTCATCTGCTGAGCACCTGCTATACGCCGGGCTCTAGAGTGTTGTTAGTTGGGTGTTGTTAGTGGTGAGGAGATCAAAGAAGACATACAGGTAAATATAATGCCACGCGGTGGTCTGTGGTAGGCAAAGTTAGGGTTAGAGGTCAAAGAATGCCAGGAGTGCCGAGGTTGACCATGGAAGCTCTCTGACAGGGTGGCATCTCAGCGGAGACCTGAACGAAGTATAGGAATGGGCCTTGCACCTACGGGGGTGCTCTGGATAGAAGGAAGAGCAAGCACACTTCCCAAGACAGGAGTGTGTGCACCCTGGTCCAGGAACAGCATGGAGGCCAGCGCAGCCAGGGCAGAGGGTGCGAGAGGAGTATGGTGGGAAATGAGGCCAGAGAGGTAGCAGGTCGCTCCCACAGGGCCTTTCAGGCTGAGATAAGGAATCTGGATTTTAATCTGAGCGAGACAGGAAGACACTGGTGGGTTTTAAGCCAATAAATGACATAATCAAGCTTATGTGTTGAAAACACCACTCTGGCTGTTGGTGGAGAATAGACTGTGGAGTTGGGGGAAGAAGAGGCAGCAACACCGTGCTCAGGAGGCTTTCTGGGGTCAGCCTTGAGAGAGGTGATGGTGATTTGGACCAGGGTGGGGAGATCAGCTGGCTGTGGGTCGGAGAGAGAGGAGCCAAGAAGAACTCCAAAGGCTCTGGCCCGAACAGCTGGAAAGCCAGAGTTCCCACGACTAAGACGGGAAAGACTTGAGAGGGGTGGGGAGGGCCGGGGAATCAGGAGTTCGCGCTTGACACCCAAGCAGAGCTGGGGAGTAGGTGGTGGATACGCAAGTCTGGAGTTCTGGGGAGCTCTGAATTTGAGCTGTAAATGTGGGCGTTTTTTAGATGGCATTTAAAGCCCTGAATGTGGGGGCGCCTGGGTGGCTCAGTCGTTAAGCGTCTGCCTTCGGCTCAGGTCGTGATCCCAGGGTCCTGGGATCGAGCCCCGCGTTGGGCTCCCTGCTCCGCGGGAAGCCTGCTTCTCCCTCTCCCACTCCCCCTGCTTGTGTTCCCTCTCTAGCTGCCTCTCTCTCTGTCAAATAAATAAAAAATCTTTAAAGCCCTGAATGTGGATGAGGTTACCTGTGCGAGTACAGATGGAGAGAGAAGTGGTCCAAGGACGGGCCTGCACCTTCTATGCTTAGAGGCGAGGAAGGAGGAGACTGGGGGTGGCAGGCTGGAGGAAAATCTGGAGGCGTGGGCCTGGGAGGCCCGGACGGAAGGCATTTCAGGGTCTCAGATGCTTTGGAGAGGCTTGTAAAGTGAAGCCCGAGGGCAGCATGCTGGACTTGGCAATGCAGAGGTCACTGGGGACAAGAAGTTTCCATGAGTGCCAGGGTAAGAGTGCCTGGAGTGGGCTCAGAGTGAATGGCAGTGGAAGTGGAGACCAGGAGCATGCCAACTCTTTCAGGGACTTTTACTGTAAAGGGAGCAGAGGAATGGTGGTGACCAGAGGGACGTGGGATCAAAGGAGGGTTTGGGTTTTTTTTTTTTAGGATTTATTTATTTATTTGAGAGAGAGAGCATGAGTGCCAGTGGGGGAGGGGCAGAGGGCAAGAATCTTCAAGTAGACTCCTCGCTGAGCTCAGAACCCTGATGCGGGGCTTGATCTCAAGACCCATGAGATCATGAAGATCAACACCTGAAGTGAAATCAAGAGTTGGTCCCTTAACTGAGCCACCAAGGTGCCCCTCAAGGGAGGGGTTCTGATGTGTCGTTTTGTCTTTTGTTTTAAATGTACTTTTTAAAAAGATTTTATTTATTTACTTGAGAGAGAGAGAGCACAAGTGGGGTGAGCGGCAGAGCAAGAAGCAGACTCCCCGCTGAGCAGGGAGCTGGACTCGGGGCTTGATTCCAGGACTCCAAGATCATGACCTGAGCCAAAGGCATATGCTTCACCGACTGAGCCACCCAGGCACCCCTTGTCTTTTGTTTTAGATAGAGTGACACTAGAGCATGATCATATAGTATGAAAGTGAGCCAAGAGGGGACAGAGGTGGCGGTCTTATGAGTGAGGCTTTTGTGAAAGTGACAAGGGCCAGGACCCAGGGAGAGGGTGGCCTCAGGCAGGAGCATCCAGCTCGACAGGAAGGGAGGCCAAGGATGTGTGAGTAGATGCAGGTGGGAAGGTATGGTATCGGTGGGAACATTCGAGAATCTGATGTTTGCTGAGAGCCTCATGCAGCAGGGAGGAGTCTGACGTTTACCAAGTGCCCTCCGTGCCATCTGCTGGGCTGAATGCTGCACATTCCTTATGTGGTTGACTGGAGTGACTCAGAACACTGTCATTAGGTAAGTATTAGCCACGGCTCACAGATAAGGCACCTGAGGCTGAGACTTGCTCAATCAGGAAACACCAGGCTGGACTCACACGCAGGGCTACCTTCCTCATTGCATCACCCCGCTCCTGCACCTGCGCTCCAGCTTGGGGTGCTGCTGAACAGAGAAGATCTACCCGTGTGGAAAGTTAAAAAAAAGCAATGTGATACAGAGGCCACGTCGTCGGGGCAACTAGGAGTGGTAGCGACACTGAGTCCTCGGGAAGGAGAGAGCATGTGTGTTAAAGAGACCCTCACTGTGGGGACCCTGAGCCCAGGACAGCCCCCTCCTACTGCAGTAGTTCCCTCTGTCTGACTTCAGTGCCTCACCCCTTCTACTCACCACACCCCTGCTCCTCAGACCCTTCTGCTGCAGAATGAATGCAGAGCCCCCAGTGCAGCAGGAGGTGGGCCCAAGACACCTCCACTCTGAATATTCTTACTACTTGTATCTTTTATCCGCAAAATCTCCAGCCAGTTTTGTATTCTATTCCATGATATGCTCAAGTAGTTGCCGTTACATTAAAAATGGATGAACTTGGGCGCCTGGGTGGCTCAGTTGGTTAAGCGACTGCCTTCGGCTCAGGTCATGATCCTGGAGTCCCGGGATCGAGTCCCTCATC